GGGATCCACCGGATCCTTGGGATCCACCGGATCCTTGGGATCCACCGGATCCTTGGGATCCACCGGATCCTTGGGATCCACCGGATCCTTGGGATCCATCGGATCCACCGGATCCTTGGGATCCATCGGATCCACCGGATCCTTGGGATCCACCGGATCCTTGGGATCCACCGGATCCTTGGGATCCACCGGATCCTTGGGATCCATCGGATCCTTGGGATCCACCGGATCCTTGGGATCCACCGGATCCTTGGGATCCACCGGATCCTTCGGATCCACCGGATCCTTCGGATCCTCCGGATCCTTGGGATCCACCGGATCCTTGGGATCCATCGGATCCTTGGGATCCATCGGATCCTTGGGATCCACCGGATCCTTGGGATCCTCCGGATCCACCGGATCCTTGGGATCCATCGGATCCTTGGGATCCATCGGATCCTTGGGATCCATCGGATCCTTGGGATCCACCGGATCCTTGGGATCCATCGGATCCACCGGATCCATCGGATCCACCGGATCCTTGGGATCCACCGGATCCTTGGGATCCACCGGATCCTTCGGATCCACCGGATCCTCGGGATCCACCGGATCCTCGGGATCCATCGGATCCTTGGGATCCATCGGATCCTTGGGATCCACCGGATCCTTGGGATCCACCGGATCCTTGGGATCCACCGGATCCTTCGGATCCACCGGATCCTTCGGATCCTCCGGATCCTTGGGATCCACCGGATCCTTGGGATCCACCGGATCCTTGGGATCCATTGGGATCCACCGGATCCTTGGGATCCACCGGATCCTTCGGATCCTCCGGATCCTTGGGATCCACCGGATCCATCGGATCCATCGGATCCATCGGATCCACCGGATCCATCGGATCCACCGGATCCACCGGATCCATCGGATCCACCGGATCCTTGGGATCCACCGGATCCTTGGGATCCACCGGATCCTTGGGATCCACCGGATCCTTCGGATCCACCGGATCCTTCGGATCCTCCGGATCCACCGGATCCTCGGGATCCACCGGATCCTCGGGATCCATCGGATCCTTGGGATCCATCGGATCCTTGGGATCCACCGGATCCTTGGGATCCACCGGATCCTTGGGATCCACCGGATCCTTGGGATCCACCGGATCCTTGGGATCCACCGGATCCTTCGGATCCTCGGGATCCACCGGATCCTCGGGATCCATCGGATCCTTGGGATCCATCGGATCCTTGGGATCCACCGGATCCTTGGGATCCACCGGATCCTTGGGATCCACCGGATCCACCGGATCCACCGGATCCTTGGGATCCACCGGATCCTTGGGATCCACCGGATCCTTGGGATCCACCGGATCCTTGGGATCCACCGGATCCTTGGGATCCACCGGATCCTTGGGATCCACCGGATCCTTGGGATCCATCGGATCCACCGGATCCTTGGGATCCACCGGATCCTTGGGATCCATCGGATCCTTGGGATCCACCGGATCCTTGGGATCCACCGGATCCATCGGATCCACCGGATCCATCGGATCCACCGGATCCATCGGATCCACCGGATCCTTTGGATCCTCCGGATCCTTCGGATCCTTTGGATCCATCGGATCCTTGGGATCCACCGGATCCATCGGATCCACCGGATCCATCGGATCCACCGGATCCTTGGGATCCACCCGATCCTTTGGATCCACCGGATCCTTTTAAAAAAGGATCTATTTATCCATCGGATCCTTTGGATACATCGGATCCTTTGGATACATCGAATCCTTTTTTTTTATAACTAAAATACTCATCCATCGGATCCATCTTTTTTTTTTATAACTAAAACACTCATCCGTTGGATCCATCTTTTTTTTTTATAACTAAAACACTCATCCGTTGGATCCATTGGATCCATCGGATCCATCTTTTTTCTAACTAACACACTCATCCGTTGGATCCATCGGATCCATCTTTTTTTTATAACTAAAACAACACTCATCCGTTGGATCCATTTTTTTTATAAGTATTTAGTTATTGTTAAAAAAAGAAATGGATACGATGGATACAACGGATAAGTATTTAGGTTATAGCTAAATACTTATCCGTTGTATCCATCGGATCCATTTTTTAAAGGACATTGGCAACCAAAATTTTTATTGCTTCGTCTGAAAGAGCATGAAAAAATAAGCCGGTTGGCTATTTAATGCTCTATTCTATCTCCTCTAATTCCGAAGTTATACGCAAAAATGTGCAAAATATAAATTGTTGATTCAGCACAACATGTCAGTTGGGTAAGAGTATGTTTATTGAATAGTAAACTGAAGCATAGCTCAGGTATTATGGGCCAATCAAATGAAATTTTGCATACTGATTGTACATGATGAGAGGCATTGCAAAACGGGTATTCGTTCCATGTTTCGCGCACCAATATAGTAAACGTTATGTAATGGATATTATAGTGTACTGAAATGTTAACTGGATACCTCCATACATGTTATGATAATATCAGAAGTATGTGTACCATACCTATGCATGCCAAAAGTTTAGTTGCATGATAATAATTTAAAAATGACATACACATAGATAAATGTAGTTATTCAAAATCAGTGTAAGGGGCCTGGGAACGACTGTGTTGCCTTGACAACAAAATTAGAAGTGTTTTCTCATGCGTCTCTTTATGTACTATCTGTATGCAAAATTTCATTTGATTTGGGCCCATAATAACTGAGCTTTGCTTCAGTTTACTATTCAATAAACATACTTACCCAACTAATGACCTCACAGGTTGTGCTGAATCGGCAATTTATATTTTGCACATTTTTGCGTATAACTTCGGAATTAGATGAGATAGAATAGAGCATTAAACGGCCAAGCAGCTAATTTTTTATGCTCTTTCAGATGAAGCAATAAAAATTTTGGTTGCCAATGTCCTTTAAATAACCACAGGGGCCCCACTATGAGTTATGATTGAAATAATATTGTATTTATTTTTTAAAACCTACTTGAATCCCTTGATAATCGATTATTTCTTCTCTCGAAGTTCTGTAAACATTTTAAACTGCTTGGAGTCATTATACTATCACTCTACGTGACGTTTCAATAAGTATAGATGATCGCTGACAAGTAAGGACCGTGGGTGCGAAAAGACGAAGGCGGCGAAAGAAGGGAGAATTAAACTAAAGGGTTGAAAACTTCGGCTAGATGACATTTCTAAATGCCTTAAAATTTTTAATTCTCCCTTCTTTCGCCGCCTTCCTCCGGTCCTTACTTGTCAGCGATCATCTATACTTTGTGAAATATCACGTAGAGTGATAGTATAGTGACTCCAAGCAGTTTAAAATGTATACAGAACTTCAAGAGAAGAAATAATCGATTATCTAGGGATTCAAGTAGGTTTTAAAAAATAAATACAATATTATTTCAATCATAACTCATAGTGGGGCCCCTGTGGCTAAACATGAACGAAAAGTTAAGGCGACTTACTTTTGGCCAATTTTTAAAAATGATAAAAAGTAAAAGCTCATCACTCACTTTTTGTCGACAAGGGCTATCCTAATTAATCCTTTTATTTTTACCATTACTTTTTGTCAGCAAAATGTCGAAGTATTAACATTTTCATCCAGTCTTTCAATATGGCCAAAGGTATCCCTTAATATTTTGTTCATATTAGATAACAGCTAACACCTTTAGCTTTGGAGAATTAAGGAAAGGCCAATAATGGGCTAATAGTATGTATCACATACTTACTCGCCCGCTCACCATAATCCTAACTACTTTTGCTTGTACTTATGGTCATTACCTAACGTATAGACTGGCGGCACTCTCTTATTGACAAGTGAAAGTGTCTGACGTAAAACAATCTAGTGTTACACCGTGTAAAATAATAGATTAGGGGGCATTAATCAGGCGCATTGCTGCTTAAAAGATCAACAGAATCCAATGGCTGATTTTCCACTTTTTTATTTACTGTAAAATCATATTTTATAAGTAAAATCATATTTTATTTTTCAATAAATGCATTAATTATCCATATACAGAAATAAAGTTATAGTTTGTATAATACCTGATTTGGTTTTAGTTCTCGATGCCTCGGACGGATTGATGTCCTCCATCCATTATCTTATATGTTCACATTCTTAGGGCTTCTCAATTCTCATAATGTCTGAAGCATAAGCTTTAATTTCCTTGTCACGCACAAATCTGTTCTTAGAAAACAAATCACTTTCATAAAGCGTCGAAACATTGTCCATGTTGATCTGTCTCGCCTGGAAAAGAAAACATTATATTCAGTTCATATGACACCTTAGATTGAATCAAAGGTATGGTTGGAAAAATTGAAAGCTGAGAGAATGCCTGCGCCCCCCTCCTCATATTTCATCAAAATTTTCAAATTTTGTAGCTACAATATGTTTTGTTTGGAGTGATTTGGGGAAAATTTTGAATTATTGAAAAACAACTCAAAAACTGGAGCCATCAACACCCCCCTCTCCCATTTGATCAAAATTTTAAAAATTTGTAACACACATCCTTACAAGTCGAAAGCCATCGTTTTGCCAAACAAAACATTTCCAATTACTTCCAGAAGGTCTGCAGTGATTTTGGGCAATATTGAATTATTGAAAAATAGCTCAAAAACCTGGACTGGTCACTGTGCCCCCCCCCCCTTGCCATTTGACTGAAATTTTCAAGTTTTGCAAAGCATGTTTTTAGAAGTCGAAAGTGATTGTTACGAAGTACTGATGGTCGCCGACAAGTAAGGAATGCGGGCACGAAAAGTCAAAGGCAGCGGAAGAAGGGAGTTCGCGCCCACGTTCCGTACTTGTCAGCAACCATCTAACTTAATTAACATAGGGATAGACATCTTCGAAAATTAATTTGAGTGAGAATAAGATGAAATATAACTTGACCCATGGAGTGTCACCACTCTCTAATTGACAAGTAAAATATCTGTCATTAGGCCTAAAAAAATACCTGTGGTTCTGGTTTCTTATCGTGAAAAAATTATGGTCGGTAGGTCAGAAATAAATTTTTTTGCAATTTTTTTTTTCATGGTTTGGACAGTTTTTTGGTGGGCAATTTGCAGTAGAGTCCGGACATTAATACGAGAGATGGATATTTCCTATGGATGAATTTAGGCAATTTGGTTCAATAATTAGTGTGAAAACATATGCCACATTTTGGCACGCTGTATGAGCAGCCTGCACCACCCGGAGAAAATAGGGTCGCACAGTCAATCCCGTTGAAAAAATAATAGGGTCAACCGAAAAAATAGGGTCTGTCAGGAACCGGAACCACATGTATTTTTTAGGCCTTACAGTAAAATTATAATAAAGATCAGAGTGCATTACCACTTGAAAGAATTAACAAGATACATGGGCAGATTAACCCACAGTACTCTCCATTTGACAAGTAAAATTGTCTGCCCTTAGACAGAGTAAAATAATAAAGTAGGGCCGTGCATTACCACTTAAAAACTTGACCCACCCTATTATAGGCCTAGCAAAGCAGGGGCACAGCAAACTTTTCAAAAACATTCAAAAACCATCTCAAACTAGTCCAAACTTTCAGAAAATTGTCAAAACCTTTCCCTTCATCAAAAGCACTACTTTCGATTGATGAAAACATGTTTTAAAAATTTTCGTCAAATGCAAAAGGGGGACCACAGGGTACCCTAGGCTTAGGAAAGGGGACCACAGGAAATTCTTCAAAAATTACTGCCTCAAACTAGTCCAAACTTTCTGAAAATTCTCGAAAACCTTTCCTCTCATCAAAAGCACTAGTTTCGGTTCAATAAAAACATGTTTTAAAAATTTTGGTCAAATAAAAAGCCCCTTTTTATTTGAACAGGAAATTTTTCAAAAATTCAAAAACCACCTCAAACTAGTCCAAACTCTCTGAAAATTGTTGAAAACATTTCCTCTCATCAAAACAATTACTTTCGATCGATAAAAACATGTTCATATATTTGTGTTCTGCGTTATTAATTTCTTTTGAAATCGATTGTTTTTATGGTCTGTGAACACAAATATATGAATATGAGCACCCCAATTATCGAGCTTGCTACGGCACTGAACTACTGTAATTGAAACTGACCTTTTCAAGTACCTCATCTGCAAATCCAACTGAACTATTTTACAACATCCAAAAATGACAATACGTTGGACTTGATTGGCTTGTACACATTGGTATTTTGTTACATTGTTGAATTGCCGTTGCCTAAGGTGAATAAGATTAACTGATTAGCTGCAATGCTCCCAACTTTATTATTGTATTACCGTATGACTAATGGCAGGTGATTTACTCATTAACCCATTGAGCCACAATGCGTCCCAGTGTGCCCTACTTTTATAATTCTTTTTTTACTTGTCCAACACTGGGCGATTTCACTCTTCAATAGGGAAGCTCTGCAGCTTAATGGGTTAACCAAAAAATCTGACAATGTCTCTAGTTACCCCATTGAGCTGCAATGCGCCCTACTTTTTTTTACTTGTCCAACGACGTAAGATTTTACTTGTCAATTGGGAAGCTCTGCAGCTTAATGGGTTAAGGGGAGAACATTGCATAGTCATTCAGTGACACTGTCACTGAATGACTATGCAATGTTCTCCCCTGGGTTGGGCGATATAAAAAAATCATCTCACGATTATTGTCAAGGAAATTATTTACTGGGGGGTTAGACGGGGTTAACCCCCCCCCCAATAGAATTTCTCTAACCCCTCTTGTAAAGCGTTCAAACCCCACCAAAATTTTGCTTCACCCCTCCTAAGTCCTTAACACCTAACCCTTGTCGAAGCTCACTGAGTGGTGCTGCTTGCACCCCACCAGAAATTTCTCTACCCCCCCCTTTAAAAAAAATGAAAATCCACCCATGAATTGAAGGGTCTGGTAGACAGAAATTATCAAGTGGAGATTTATACACAGATTGAAATAACAAAGTAAGTCTCATCAGGATGCATATATTACCCATTTAAAGAGTTACAGTAAACACATTTAATTAATAAAAGTGAATTAACCAATATTGGGTCATTCCAGAAAACATCCATACCACAGAGGAAATTGTAAGTTAATACCCCTACCCCCTTTGGATGTCCTAATACATTTACTATTATCAGAAACAATTTTTTCTCCCCTCCCCCTCCGGACGGCAGAAATTTCCTCGGTGGATCTTTTCTGGAATGACCCAATGTATTGTAATATAAGATTGTATAGATAATTATCTCGGTGTTTAATTCAAACTACTAATAATATCATGTATATGTGATTAGTATAGACAGTAGTGAATGAGACAATGTAATTGGTTAATATTTGTTCTTTAGAAGTGTATAAATTGAACTTATATAGTGCCATAGAATCTTAGATAGGCATGTACGTGAAATTACACGTTCAATTACAAGTCAAATCCAGTGTTCTGTTCACTTGCCAATCAAGTGCTTGGCATCTGACATTTGGGTGCGACTTCTCAGAAAATTGTCAACATGCCCAATAATCGCAAATGTACGTAAAAATTGCAATTTGTTCGCGTTGGTTGCAATTTGCTACGGAACACCGGATTTGACTGTGATATATTTGACTTGTGTTGTATATACAGTACCATACATCTTAATAAACAGTACAAAAACCAACTCGTCTCAGTTCTTGGGCAGTCCTCAAATTTGTTCCAAAAACGAAACAAAAAGTATGGTATCATTATCTAACTGATACCACAATAAAGAATGCACATAAATTAACCCAACTGTTGCCATGAAAAATTCTCTTTATGTTTTATAATACATTAAAATACTCAATAATTCATAAACCTTGTGGCAAAACATGTCAGCCATATGTCATGTGGAACGACTTTATATCTGATAAAACTCATCTTCATTATATTTTCTGTGTTGGTGTAATGTACTCAGGTGAATAAGATGCTTGTGATGTTACTCTGAGTGTATATCCACACTGGGCAGGCTTGAAAAATATGCCTTGCCATGGTGGGAATTGAACCTACAACCTTTGGAATACTAGTCCAATGCTCAGCCAACTGAGCTACGCGGTCAGATCGGTTCGAGTATGTGATATTTCGGAACTGAGTCTAGTTCCTTCGATATCAATGTAATCTAGCAATCATGATATTTTCTGTGTTGGTGTAATGTACTCAGGTGAATAAGATGCTTGTGATGTTACTCTGAGTGTATATCCACACCGGGCAGGCTTGAAAAATATGCCTTGCCACGGTGGGAATCGAACCTACAACCTTTGGAATACTAGTCCAATGCTCAGCCAACTGAGCTATGCGGTCAGATCGGTTCGAGTATGCGACTATCGGAACTGATTGGACTAGTATTCCAAAGGTTGTAGGTTCGATTCCCACCGTGGCCAGGCATATTTTTCAAGCCTGCCCGGTGTGGATATACACTCAGAGTAACATCACAAGCATCATCTTCATTAGTTAAAACACTCCTACTCATGTTTTAAATAGTACATAAACTCTTGAAAAGCAATTTATTACCAGCATATAAAGCTCCGACTATAAACCACCCCCCCTTAATATAAGCCCACCACATATACTAACGCTCACCTTATTCCGAATATAAGCCCCCCAATTATGACTGACTTGTTTATGTCTGACTTATTTATTACCGACACAAAAGATCATCCATGTACTACCCCCCCCCCCTTATATACGCCCCGCCTTGCATAAGCCCATCAAAAACGCTTACGAAAGTATATAAGCCCAGGGCTTATAGTCAGAGGCTTACGGTAGATAGGGAGAACAATGTCACTCAATGTGTTCATCAGACTGCTCATCTGTGTAGTTAACCTATTATGCACTAGTCAATTGAAACCCCAGTCCCACAATCCCCAGGTACAGGCCAGGTTTTAACAAGAGCTTGCGGGGGAAAATACAGCATTTTAACCAAGCATTGCTTTTTCGATACCCAGGGTTTAATACTGATATAAAAGCGGGGTAAAATAGCCAAGGTTTAACATCATGACCTTGGAATTACTGACAAGTTATATTGGAATCAGCACATCATTCAAATTGTATCCAAGGTAAATATTATATTATTACGGAGAATGTGCCCCTTGTTAACAGATCGTGTTGCTCGAAGGACATTATCAGGGGTGGAAAAGTATCGTTCCACAGGACCATTGGTCCCAGAAAATTTTTTAAGTTCCCAGAAAATATTTTCCCAAGAAAGAAAAATTGTAATAAATTATTCAAATAAAAAGAGAAATTCAGAGGGAAATTCACACCATGACATCAGAAATACAATTATAAGTGTAACCATCTTAATAGTGCGATAGTGTATAAATGTATTAGACTATAGAACGATGTAAAAAATGTTGTATGGCAAATGCATTTTTAGCTGATCTGGGACAAAATTTTCTGGGAGAGCATGCATGATCTCCCTGATAGTGTCCCCTAAAAGTGCCCTAGCTTTTTTGGCATCTGTATTTACCCTTGATACATGCCATCTAAAATTAGATTTATGTTATATTTTAAGATTCTTAGTGAAATATTATTTCCAGTGAAATATTTTTTCCTGTGAAATATAGCATGACATCCAGTTTGACAACTTGTTAGTGTTACACAATTACAGTGTCCAAGTGTCGACTTACTTGATTATTTACAGAAAATGTTCAATGTTCTCTTGCGGCCCCAGAAAGTAAAATATTTTTCCACCCCTGGACATTATACTTATTCTTAGTGAAATCCCAACTGGGTTATGCTACAGAAGTCTGGTCACAGTGACAGTCCACCAACAGAACCTATCTAGAGAGGATTCAAAGGTGTGCCAGAAGATGGACACTTCAAGTAAAGATAGGAGAGGTCTCATACAACGATCTTTTGTTGGCCCTTAATATTCTATCTTACGATAGGGAGATAAAGGACGTAACATTCTTTTATGTACGGATATTATGATTTGAATGTTTGTGATTATGTGTCATTCGTAACCTACAGCCGTACCCGTAATTGTGTAAATCCTAGCGCATAAGCCTAATATGCTCAAAGTACCTTTACAGTGCAAAACAAGTACATTCCAGTCATCGTACTTTAACCCATTGAGTCGCATTGCGCCCTGATGCACCCTACTTTAGCAGGGCTTGAAACTTGCGGTATCCCGATATCCACAGGATATCAGATTTTAATTTTGGATACTGGGTATCATAAGCTCAGTATCCCAACTGGATACTAGGAAAACTTAGAAATTGTGATAGTAGATAATCATCTAGACGTTTGGCATGTTTCCGAACTTCAATGTCTATAAATTTTGGCAGAATATTTAAAAAAAAAAATTTCACAAACGGTGCTTTCTTTCGTATCACGGCAGTGTGTTATTTTCAATTTTTTCGAATTTCAATACATATTTTTATTATTGAAACTAAAGGCCTGGTTTTTGCTCAACAACTGAAGGCCTGGTTGCAAGGTAAAATTTTGCCTTGCTTAGATACTGGAAATAGAATATCTAGTATCCAAATCTGGGTTACTATATTTCAAGGATGGATACTAGATTCTATGATGCTGGTATCCACTTGGATACTGACAAAAATGTCAAGTTTCGAGCCCTGACTTTAGTATTTTACTCTGTCTAACGCCAGACAATTTTACTCGTCAAGGGGAGAGCGCTGGCGGTTAAGGGTTAACTGGCCTATCCGCGCATGTGTCTAGTTAACCCATCGAGTCGCATTGCACCCTGATGGACCCTACTTTAGTATTTTACTCTGTCTAACGCCAGACGATTTTACTCGTCAAGGGGAGAGCGCTGGCTGCTTAATGGGTTAATCGTATCGTTCCCCTTTGGAACCGTACGTGTAGAACTGCTAAACCTTCAGACTTGAGTAGCCTAACTATGTTCAGATCGTTTTTATCAAGAACATATTTACATTTATTAATCTCTTGTTACGATGTAGACATGGTCTGCACATGGTCATTACATCGAACTTGCTCATGTCATACGAGATAAACATATGCTATTGCTTGATTACTTAAATTCTATATTTAACTGTTCCATACATCATTTCAAGGTATTATTGCTATCACTAAATTCGTAAGCATCATAAATCTTAGCTTTGATTTTCGATTTGGTGGCATATGTTTATTTTTGACTGTAGTTATGTATATTTTATTCTACATGTATTGTCTGTTGTTGTATCTTTAATCGGAGGAGTGCCTCGCATGGGACCTTGAGTCCTGTTCGCACTCCTACCGTTTGGTCACAATCCAATACCATAAACCTCTGACTATTAAGACCCCCCCCCTCCCGAATATGCTTCCACCACATATACTAACACTCACCTCATTCCAAATATAAGCCCCCCCCCAATACAAGGCCAGCCAAATATAAGTCCCCCAACCCACTCAAGTAACCCACTACATTATTCAACATTGACATTGTCTTTTAATATAGCAGAGAACAATATTTAAAAACATTGTCATTGTCTTTATAGCTCAGTATGTTAAAATCAAAGCACGTTAATGACCGACTTGTTTATGTCTGACTTGTTTATTACTAACACAAAAGATCGTCCATGTATTAGCCCCCCCCTTGTATAAGCCCATCAAAAATCGCTGACAAAAAAGTATACAAGCCCAGGGCTTATAGTCAGAGGTTTACGGTAAAGTGTTTAAAACTATATGAAGAAGGTCCCGGGTAGAATGGCCAGGATTTAATGTGCACAGAACCTAATCACATTTCTAAAGTCTCTCCATTAGAAAACCTCACAAATTTAGACATGCAAACGCCGTTAGTTGTCAAAATATGGGTAATATTGCCTCAAATTACAGTACAGTAATTCAGGCCCGCAGTAATTGGCTCACGCCGTTGCGGTCACCCTGCCTATAGTCATGTATATTATTCTTGTTATAGTTTTGTGTATTGTAATATGGCAAAACTAATAAATAAAAATAAAATAAATACAGTGATTATTTGCAAAATTGATGGACAGATATAAACTGAACAAGTCGAGGAACAAGTGAAGTATGCACGAAATTATATAAGTACGAATAAAGTACTTTGTCTACGACAATTTGTGTACTCGTTTTCTTATTTGACCCAGCCACCACCCGAGTAATTTAACAATTGAACAACATTTTTAAGTCGGAATTTTAACACTTGTGAAATGTTAAAACCCCGCATATCCATGGAGGTCGGGTGGCCAGGGTTTCAAATGACTGGTGCATTATTAAGCTGCATTGTGCCCTTATTGTGCTCCATATATTGATATATAGACATGACCGAGATGGGCCCGGGGCCCCAGGCAAAATTGTGGTGCCCCCTTGGAAAAATACACAAAAATTACACTATATTTTTATTTCTTGCCATGTAAATCTATGTCTTGTTATGTTAATTTAAAATCTATCACCAAACATGATAAAATACTGTACTTTCTTTAAATTAATTTTAAAACTAATGGAAAATATTTGTGTTCTAAAGTCATATTTAATAATTCTAACAAAGATAAAATACTTTAAATAGGCATTTGATTTAACTTAGTTGTGAATGGGTAGCAACAACATGAATAAAACAACGTTAACACAATTGTCTATTGAGTACTGTCGACTCTACCGAAGTATAGCTTCGAGAGAACAGCTTTGAACTAAAAAATATTACCGAAAACCTTTTAAAAACTTACCATTAACACAGGCAGTTCTTTCATTCGAGCGTTGTCTCTTTATCCATGGTCGAATTTCGAGTAGAATTTTTTATAAACCAGTACAGCGATGTGGCGAAATTTCGGGCCGTCTTTCACAACAAAAACATCACAATATAAAGTCAATATAAACGACAAGTACTTTTCTCTTTACTACACAATCGTTTCCCCTGTCCATTAAGTTATAATTACAGTCGCCATAACGTAAAATAAGCGGGTATTTGTGAACAAAAATGCCCTTTGACGACACGAAGTAACCGGCGCCCATCTTGTCTTCTCCAAACATTACAAATTTTCCCGCCAAAAACTGTGTGGTGAAGAAGAAGTCCCGTATGAAGTGACGTCATTGTCATGCGCAGTGGGGACTATGGTATTAATATTTCAAAAATACGCTATAAAATCCAATTTTAATCTCTTTTCCTTCGCTATTTTCGCTTTCTACACATTGTTCTAACCAACCACGATTGTAACACAACATATTTTCCCCTCTAAACATTTTAAAATCAACAAAAATATTAAATATGAAGTATTATTTCATAATTTATAGAAGTATACTCTTCGGGCGAACATCGGGAAAATCCGAAGTTGTCTGAGCCACTGATCTGTATACAGCACTAGATGTCTGTCTGTTTTTCATATTCAAAAGTCAAAACTTTATACTTTATATAACACCAAGCTTGTTCTGGCTCGAACAACATGTCATGGGCCTGTCATGATTAGGATTCTTGCACTTCACTTGGTGGAATTAATATTAGAATGTTAGGGTTTGTAATCCAAGTGAGAATATATACATTTTAAGACCTAACCAGGAACGACTGCGAAAAATGCAGCACAACACAAGGTCCTCT